AACAACAACAAAAAACACACACCATACTAGTTTGCAAACATTACTCATGTTTGAATTTCCCTTCTCTATCATCTGTGAGCAAGCAGTTAGATGCTTTCACATGTTTCTCCTACATGGGTAAGCTGATAGACAGAGTTGCTGAAAATCACAGTCTTCAAATAAACAGCACTGCTGCAAATGCAAATCAAGCATCCTAATTCTCAGCTACCTCACCCCTTCTTTCGGCACTGAGCATCCAACTTCCAGGACTTCAGATGATCTCAAGAGTCATTCTGATGGGCCATACGCTGTATGAAAGACAGCAGAAGCCTCTGGAAGAAGCAAGAGTAGACATTACAGAAGTCAGGGACCCTGGCCCAAACCTTGGAAATCATGGACAATGATGCATAGAATTATCGACAGTACATGCAAGGAAACACTGCAGTGTTCAAGTGGAACCCATGATTTCTGGTACCAAAAAGGCAAGGTACCTGTTCAGAGGAAGAAGGTGTACTTCCTTTAACTGTAGAGGATTTCTAGGACTTATCATTCTAGGATTTGCACCAGAGAGAAACAAGATCAAATGCTTTAAATCACAATATATTATACTTCCTCAACACATTCTGGTAATGCCTCTTTTTGCCCTTTTTGTGAAAGTATACCTCAGTGTGGACCTATTTGTATATCTCGGAAATTGTATTATTTTAAAAGGCTGAGAGCTTGTGTCACTTCAGCAGATGGACTTGAAATCCCTATTTTGCATTTTGATCATTTTCCTTGCTGGCCTCATTTGTTAAGGGCCAGTAGGACTGTTAGACCAAAGGCACTTTTTATGATCTCATTGGATTCAGTAAATCTGACTTCCAGTTTTCCATGGAAACCAGAGTAGGAAATAGTTAATGAATAGCTCTCCAGCTCTACAGTGCGAGGGATTAGGTGAAGAGATTTTATTTGTTTGTTTGTTTGTTTTTAAAGAAAGGTAAATAAGAGCACCATGCTCATAAGCAGACCAGGACAGTGTTCTCCAGATCTTCAGGCAGAGTGTGTTCCTGGGTTTCACTGTGTACTCTCCAAACCTTTCTACCTGTGTGTGTGGGAACCCTTTCTCACACTCACTTCCACACTGCAAATCTTGTCTGAGGAGCTCTGACCAACTTTGTGAGCTGATTTGGTCTAAAGCTTAATAAAGTGCCCACCCAACTGGCGTACTCAAGGCAAGACAGCTCTATGCCTCCCTTTTTTAGAAGAGTAGTGCCAGCATCCCCCTTAGAGCCCAGACCATGCTCATTTAATCTGAGATTCCTGCAAAGACAAGGGTATCATCAACTTTGCATATCAGCTTCCTGATGCAGCTTGCTGCTTTGTGACAGGATCCACCAAGCTGTTGGTGCTTGAGCTTGAAAAGTAGCAGAGAGGCCACAGACCTGGGCTGCAGCTGGAAGGATGAATTAATGTGGAGCTGTGTCCCGGCAGATGGGTGTCCACTTAGGGTGTCTGAGGGGAAAGGTTTTCATGTGTACTGACCTTCATCCTCTCATGCCTCAGTTTCTCCTTTCCTATGAAACGTGATATCTCCCTCTCGACTGTTCTGGGGCTTTACTGATAAAATGTTAATGCATGTAAGGGAGGCGTTAACGTAGTTTTGTTGTTGGTTAAGCTTTCTCCTGTGTATCTGGACTGTGGAGAAAAATCTCCCTGCTGCTCTCCCTTGGTATTTTTTCACAGCCAGTCACGTCCCCGACAGCTCGACAGCTTTTCCTTGGGGAACCACCGTCTCCTGCTTTTTCCCTGGGAGGCCATGCAGGAAAGAAGAGCTATGATTTAACAGCAGAGCAAAATGCTCAAAGCCCCACAAACACGTAGAGATTAAATGCCTCCCCCCACCTGGATTCCCAAGTAGCTTGCAGAGTCTCAGTATGCTGTTTCTGGAACACAATTGTGTCTGGAAAGAACCTATCTGGGTATTATACAGCACAGGGTATATTTTTAAGTCCTTTCTTCTTCCTATTATCCCCCTTTTCGAGGTCTTTCTCTCTTTGATTTATGGATTTGGAGACCATCTTTAATTATGTCCCTTGAACAGCTGCCTGAAGCTATGCTCACCAGGAGTTAGACAGATGCAGTGTGCAGCCCCCCCGGGTCTGCGTGGCAACATGCTGTGTGGATGACCATTAATACACAGTGTGAAGGGCATAGTTGCCTGTAGCTGTGCTATTTGGCATATGAACATGTTCAGATCTGCTTGTGCATGCACACAGACCCCGTCATGCACACACACTTGCACTCATTTTCTCTCTGCATCCATAGCCAGTACACCAGAGTGATTCCTGCAAGGTGCATATTAGACACAAAATCTTCCAGTGAGGGAAATCATCCTGGATGTAATGCCTAAAGGCACTTTCAGTGCTGGGAAATAAAGCCTCACTTATTTCCTTTAACATTTATGCTCAAAGATGAATGACGATGACAAAAACCTATCACAGTACGGAGGGGTCTGCACACATTCTCGCTTGGCACTGTGCTGTAAGCACCAAGTCCAGTTTGGGTCTGGACACTCAGCTTTCCCTCCATAAGCTGCTTTGTAAGGCTCTGTCAAAGTCGCAGCCAAAGGTGGGACTGCCACATCCGAGTGTGAGGCCAGGAGGGCATATCCTGCAGCCTATAGGAACATCTTCTGGGAGCCAGGTCCTGAGGCTGAAAGTGCTGACTCGTGCAGGCCTTCTCTTCCCCATTGACTTAGGTATCAACTTCTACTGTAATGATATGTCAATGATCCCCATTGACATTGATCATCTTCTACTGTGCATGGGAGGGTGCAAAATCGGAGCTTCTACCTTTTTCCATCTATGAGGAAATCCTATTTCAGCTCCCATAAATAATTTCATACAAAAAAGCTTGCAACAGCTTTCCCTTGGAAGTAGGGAGATTGTTGTCAAAGCCTCAGGAAACCCCTTTGATGTGGGGCAGGCAACTGGGAGAGATGGTAATGAGATGCTGGGACAACTTCAATCACTAGTGAGGAAGATCAGCATTTCTGAAGCTGACAGAGCAGCACATTACAAGGACTATCATGCTGTCAGCTCTACACTGACAGACCAAAGGGGTGAGGAAATGGCTGATAAAAAGCTTACAGATGCCCCAGACTTTACTGCTTTAGAGACATGGCTCCAAAGGAAGTTCTGAGCTTGCAGATTTCTGGAAAGGCTTTTTCTGGTTAGCAACTGAGGGAACAAACATTAATTCAGGTAGCAGATCATATTCTTATGTCCACTTGACTGATGCAGGACTCCGCAGAGTCTCTTTCTCCCTGTGTTGTAGCCTGTTTAAGTTGTAAATCATCTGGGACAGGAAATCTGTCCTTCTCTTCTTACACAGCTCAAAATAGAAAGGGATTTCAGTCCTGTGTGGAGCATATTGATATCGCAGTTATAAATACAATGCTAGTGACAGAACTCTCTGGTAAAATGGCTTTGTGCCCAACCACATTAAGGCCTTTAATTTAAGCAAAAGAAGTAATGAAGTAGACCTGAAGCCTGCAGACTAGAGATAGTTTCTAGGTCCTGCTTATTAACATTCAGCTTCACCTCCCTTGTGTTGCCAATCTCAGGCCACTTTTGTGGCTATTACTGCAAGAACGTACATGGAAATGCTGTTTTAGGGACCTGTTCTAAGCCATTTCCCAGCTGGAGACAAGCAGGGGCAGCCCACACTTGCCCCCCAGATACGTCACCCACTGCAGCTCCGGAACAGATGTATTAGCCACTTCCTGATATTTAACCTGACCTTTCCCATCCTTCATCTCTTGCATAAATACTCCTACTGATGTTTTTTTCCTGGGCCAACGGGTACAGTAAAATATCCTGCCACTTGCAAATCCTGTAGTCTGGAGGCAATTTGACCTAGCTGTAATGGCATGAGCTTGTCTCAGGAACTCTGCTAACGTTACGTGATGGTAAATGGGTTGCTTACCTTCCCTTAGCATCTGTCTAGACAAGAAACTTTCCCAGATAGTGGCTGCCTTCTGCACAGCTCCCATAAAAATAGCAAAGATGCTAAATAAAGTCCCCAAGCCAAATTCCTTGTGGCATAGTTCTGCTGGAATCATGAGAGGCAGGATCACAGGATCACAGTTCAGCATCCTTTGCTAAATAAGGCAGAAAGGTGCAGCAGAGTTTTGAGCTGGACTAAATCTTGAAAGTCTGACTGTAAATTGGAAATACAGATTATATGCCAGGCTTTTTTTTTTTTTTTTTTTCTTAACAAATGTACTTCTGGTAACTTGAAAGTACCATTGAGAATCTTGCCTGTTGCAAGCACGGCACTGGTGAGAATAACAAAGAAATTACATTTCTGTGCCTGGGATTGTTACTCAAAATTTTAGAAGAGACTATCTTCTTGCTAGAATGCACCATTTTTGCTTTTTTATTTTTTTGTAATGAAATCATTTCTTCAGGAAAGAGAAGGGAATTGCTTTTTTCCTAAGTGGACATTTTCATAAAAAAATAATTTCCAAGTTTTCATTATGTTTTTGAACAAGGACTCAAAAGTGAAACATTTGTTTCCTCCCCTGGCATCCTGCAAAAGGGAAAAAATAGGAGAAAAATAGAGAACAAAAATAGAGAAAAATAAATTCCCAACACATTTTTGTGGACAAACAGAAAATACATTAAAGCTTGCTTACTTTGAGGCACCAGGAATTAGACTGGTGTTTTAATAGCTCCTCAAAAAACAAACAAAAAACCAAAACCAATTAATTATTTTTTGTGGATTTCAGCTGTAACTCCCCAGCAACACAGACTGACCAGGAAGAGGCAAGAAGGAGCAATGGGGCTTTGCTGACAGGCAGACCTTGTTACCCCTCCCAAGCACTCAGGGGGACTCCATTAAGTTGCTGATTGGTGCTGAGGGAGTAGGGTTTGGAGAGGAAGGTGTAGGGTTTGTTGTTGTTTATTTTGTTTATTTTCTCTCTCTCTCTCTCTTTTTTTTTTTTTTTTTTTTTTTTTTTTTTTGCTTTTCTTGTAATGAATGATATGGGTGGAATGTGATTTTGCTCACGGAGAAAAAAATAAAAAAAAGTAGCTTTAGTTTTGCTGGAGCTCTGTGGCAGTGAAACGTGCAGTTGCACATGGTATGCTCCTGCTCCTCGACCTCTCTGCTGCTCAGTTTGCTGCTTTGAGCTTTCTGTGCACTCATGAAGTGTGTTCAGTGCCTTCTGCTTTGCTTCCTCAAGGAAAAGAGCAACAGCTGTGGAGGAGAAAGGAGGTAAGGAAAACCAGACATAAATTGCATGTTGCCCTCGTAGTGGTGTGCAGGAAGACAGCTTTTTCCCGATGTCTCAAGCCTTTGAGGCATGGTTATTTGGTCCTCAGGGTACTGAGCGATGGTGCCCTTCTCGGGGCAGGATTTATCCATGCCCTGTTCTGTGGGGCAGGTAACCATCAGGTCACAAACCTGTTGTGGTTGCTTAAAATCGCTTGCTGTGTTTTAGAATCTAGTTGTGCTACCTGTTGTTTGGGCGATTGATGTTTGCATTCGCATCAGGCAGTGATCAAACACACGCTGCATCTCTGCTAATACATGTAGCTGCTTTCCCAAGTGGTCCCAGTTCTTTACACTAACAGAGGTAGTACATGGGAGTCTGGACATTATGCTGCTCCACGTGCCTGGCTCTTGCTAACAGTACCTGACTTGCTTGCCCCAAAGCCCCTTTCACCCCTGCCTCTCCTTCGGTAGGCTGTACGTTCCTCGAAGCGTGCCTCGGCCACAGCACACAGCAGTCCCACAACCCACATCAAATGTAGCACATCTTATGGTTCTGTGTTTCAAAACATTTCATGTGGCTGATGTCACTCTCCCCTTTCGTAAAGATGGCGAAACTGAAGCACAGAGCAGAAAAATAATGTAATGGTCTTAATGTAAGATCTCAAAACAATTCTGTAGGGAAACTTATAGTGTAAAATCCCTGCTCTGCATCCTGTGCCCACTCTAATAATAACCTCACTGACCTCCTCCTCAACTCCTGACCAGGACTGTACCTTTCACAGGCCCTGTCTCTGCAGTATATTTCCTGTGTCCATCTGTCCCATTGTCCTTCTCTAGATGCTCAGAAGCGCTCATCTTTTTCTTCTCAAATTCAGTATGAAGCTCTCTTTCATGCTGCTGAAATCCCTGACACAGGACAATTTCCATCCCGCTGAGATAATTAACCTTTCTGCTTTTCCAGTATTTGTAGTGAGTAGGTAGGGTTGTTCTTTTTTTCCTTTCTTTCTTTTTTTTTTTTTTTTTTTAATTGAGGCTCTGGTTGTCACCTGACTGTCCTGGTCCACAGGTACCCCCTTAACTGCAGCCTCAGCAGGGGTCTAATGATAGTTTCAGACATCAGCACAACAGTGATGCTGAATGCTCCTGGTTAGTAACCTCACATTAGTAACACACAGTTCATGACGGCCTAGAGGAGAGCAGGGAATGATGAGGTTGCCCACTCACCTTTGTTCCAGCCAAAGGGCCTGGGGGGCTCGTAGGTGCTGCCATAGTCGGATGCTTCTTCAGCTTAGGTGTAGGGGAGCTCAGGATTTAGGAGGATTGACCCATGCTCTGCCCCTGGCTGGTCACTTACACAGTATCACAAAGTGATTTCTAAGTAGGTCAAACACCCACTTCTTGAGAATGTCATAAATATATCTGTGCCAGAAAGAGGAAGAGCTGCTTTACTGGGTTGATATATGCTTTCTTTTTACGATTCAGTGGGATAAGTGCCTTTTCTTCTGTCCCCAGTGTGTGGTCCTTCCTGTATGTTCAGGAAGCACCAACCACCTCTTCTGAAAACAGCAACACTCAAAATCACCAAGAATGGCAATCTAACCTGCCCTTTACAGTCCCTTGATCTTTAGCAAGGAGTTAATAGGTGGAGTCAGCTCTGCCGTGAGGTTTGACTTTATGAAATTATTTCAGGTTGATCACAGCGCATTATGAAGGGTTCCTAGTCATTAATAGGAACTGAGTTACTACCGTATGAAGATTAATTTGCTGTATCAGCCATCTATTGGGTGAATAAGCCATGTGAAGATGCAGGCAGTCCAGCTATTAGCATGTTTATCAGGACAAATAGCATGCTGGAAGAACGCCTGCACAGAGCGGCGGCTTCTATTTCTTTCCAGATGGTACCAGCAGGATTTAAGAATACAAAGTGTTTGGCCAGGAGCTAGACCAAGCAACAGGGTTTCTAAACCCATGTCTTGGGATTGCTCAACATGATGTGGGTTTCTGCTGTGTAAATACACGATTTTACAAGGCTGAGCTGCTGGGTGGTGCTGTGAGGCACTGAGCTCCTCTTGTCCCATGCTCAGTCCTGCCTCTGCCTTGCCTCTGGCTCCTTACCTATTTTTAGTTTTCACATTTCTCATTGCTGTACAAGTTTCTACCTCTAAACGTATATTTCCCTTTCCAGAGGGAGATGGATACGTCTGTCTTCCAGTTTCCTTTGCTTGTCCTGCCTACCTTCACCCTAGTCTGACTGTCTCTGTGGGGAGCACACTCCATGCTCCCATTTCCTTCTCCTTGACTCTTTGCTAAGTTATATCACATTTTCTCCTTTCCTCTACACATTCTGCAGGTTCCCATCAGGTCTCATTATTCCTGGGCCCACCCCCAGTGCTTCTCCTGCCTTCCCTTTGGTGCATCTCTTTGCCTTTGTCTGGACAGATCTATACTGAGGGGGCCCAGCCAGGAGACCTGCAGACGTGGGGATGCTCTGGTGTCTTCTCAAGGATTTTGTTCTGATGGAGACAGGTGTGCTCACACTGCTGTTCTGAAGGGGAAGAAACTGATGCTATTTTGGAATCTAATGAAAGCTTAAAGACAAATCCTACTTCAGGATGCACTGCTTTGTATGGGCACGGCAGACAAGCTGGCGTATCTGGGTGCAGATCGGAAGCCAGTGGACATTGCTTCAGGTGCCCAACAGCCATGATCGATCTCTGGCTGATGGTCAAGGCTTTGTTAGGGAACCCTGTTGTACTTTCTGGGTGAGTTAGGCAATATTTTCTGTGCGTCACCACAGTTAAGGTTTTATGGAAGCCTCGTTCTGTTTAATGTAGCTGTAGTTGAGTTATAAATTAATAATCCCTGCTGCTGGGACTGCTGTGTAGCAAGATGGCTTTCTTGAATGTATGTGTAAATAATTCATGCTATTAAATTAGTTGTGTTCCCTGTCCACAGCTCGTTTACCTGCTGTGACTACAAATATTCCTCTATACAGTTGGAGTAGGTGTCAGAATATGCCAAGCGTGAGAGTTTCATGCCTGTCAGAAAGAGCCTTTACCCCTTGCTAAATGGATTGGGAAACTCTTTTGACGGAGTGCACCAGAAAAGTCTGGCTTGTTAAACGTGACGCTCTTTACAGAAATATACCTGCTTAGACAAATTTTTCATCTGTAATTTTTAGATCATAGGAAGATTCAGGTTTCATGAGATGGGCTTTCCTTGTAAACCGCAGGTTTTGTTTTTTTTGTTTTGTTTCTTTTTTTTTTTCAAGCCCTCAAGCTCTCTTTTTAAGAGCTGTACTGGAATGATTTCACTAGTCTGTGCCTCTGTTTCCCTTCTTGTAAAATCTTTTTCTGCTTCACATGCAAATTCTGTAGGTTTTCCAGCTTACCATTTTTATTAAAATTCCCCCTATGTTTCTTTGGGAAGCAGCTACCGCAGAAATAGAAGATAGTTCTCTTCAATCTCAGGTTTGAGTCAGCTGCACAGCATCAGCCATTCTGTGCTGCAGCAAACAGAGCACTGCTTATAACACAAACCCTTCACAGATAAAATAACGGGTACAAAGAAAAGTAAAGGGAGAAAAATAACCTTCAGCCCAAAAGCTGTTGTTTGAAGTTTTACTGCATAGCCCCTAAAGTGTTTGCATCTTTTTGGCACTACCTGATGTTGTTCCTAAGAGCTTTGATGCTGTATTGCTTCTGTGTTAGCAAATGGTCTTAGACTACGCTAGCATTGCCTTTGTTGGTTGAATGTTGTCAATTCTTATTTGTTTTTTCCTCAGACTTGCTGCTCTTGTCCATATGTGATGATCCAGAGCAAGACTTGAGGGAATCTGGGGAAGACTGTATTGCAGTATCTTCCATCTTCTCCTGACATACCAGAAACTTGATCATCTGACTGTAAGTAAGATAAATATGCTTTTATATGGCATACATAGCCTGTAAATTTGTTTTATTGCCAGGTTACCATCATATAGGATCTGGAAGCAATTGAAGAATTTTATTTTAACTGTATTTTATAAGTATTGATGAGATCTCTGAAACCAGTTTTTCTGTAGAAAATACCCACATTTATGTTGGACACAAATACATGTGAAGAAGGTGATATTACTTAAACTCCTGCTATTGAAGCCAGGACACCTCTGTGTATAAATAACAAGTACTATTACTCTGGGACCAATTATTCACTGGGAAAGCTTCTGAAGAAACATATCAGCATATTGGAAATCACTAATGGGAGATGTAAAGGGTTTTTGCTGTAATGCTTAATGTGACTCTGGATAAATGTTTGCAGTGGTAGGAAAACAAGAAAGAAGTAATCATATAGTTGCCTGAGCTGAAGAAATGAGAAGTGCTCTGAAAGAACTTAGAGCTCTTAAGCTTTGTTTTTAGGGAAGTTTGATGGCTGATTTTTTTTTATTTTTTATTTTTATTTTTGTTAAAGAGAGGTTTCTGTTAGCCTTAATGAAAAAAAAAAATCCTAAATATTGAAGGAACTGATTATGTTGTGGTTCTAAATTAGGCACCTTTCTAGCCCCAGTTTTCCCAGCAAGTAATCTGTTTGTTCTGGTTGAGCTTTATTCCGGGATTTGCAATTGGTGTCTAGGAAATGCCCATTCTGCCTAAAAATGTTACTGGAAACGGAGAGGAGTGGCCACTCCAGATCGCAGGGGCTGCGTTGGTAAGACACATTTTGTCCCAGTCGGTCGATTGGAGGCAGAGACAGAAGAAGGCAAATGGACAGAGCGGTTGTTCACAAGCAAGAAAATGGCTTTTAATTTCTCCTTTTAAAGGTGTTGCAAACAAGCTCGGGAATAGTTTGTTCAGACCCCACAGACAGACACAAGGAATTTCTCAAATATCCAGTCCCTCCCTCCTTGCTCTGAATGGCAGATTGTCGTGTTGCTTTGGTTTCGGTGCCTGCATTTTAGGGGACTTCCTCTAGCTGTATTTCTAGCAGTTGTGTAATGCTGTTTCCACAAAACATGCAGTATAATGAAACATGAAATATTATCTTTTCCCCTAACCTATTTAAATGACTTGATTAACATTGAATTTTACTGAGCATGTCAGGATTGGAGATGCACCGTAAGAGAGAAATATAATTTAATAGGAAGGAATACACCGCTCTGGAGTAGTCCAGCTAAGCTGTTAAGCTGTGGTTTAAAACAGACTGAATGAATGTGCTGGAAAAGGAAGTTATCACACCCTTCTCTGTCACCCACCTTGCCCCCCAAAATAGGAAAATAGAAAATTCTTCTCACAACTTGAAATGTTATGTCAGGATTCAAATGTCATAGCCAGTGTGCATCTTGTGCATAGATTAAAAGGAATAATAAAGTTAAAGGTGATGGTAACAGATGGATGATGCTGTGGGGCAGTGTGGAAGGGCAGCGTCAGTTGAGATTAAGATGCACGTAACCCTAAAACATATTTTGATCAAATGTATGAATGTGTCGTGGTATCCTCTGGGCTGTGGGAGTTCCCAGACTGTTTGACTTGAAATGGAAGCAATTTAATCTTTAAAAATAATAATGAAAGAGCAAACTGTAAATGAGACCTTCTGGCAGACTGGCGGGGCTGCAGTCCCAGAGGTAGACACACATGCTAAGATGACAAATGAGGTCATTAAAGTAAATAGTGTAAATTGAGTTTTGGCAGTGGGTAGGAATCCTTATTATGATGGAGGGCATTAATATGGAAAAAAAAAGGGGGGGGGGGGATGGAAGAATTCGCTGGTGACAAGCTTATCTGGGGCAGAGAAGCAGTGTAATTTTGTAGCAGTTCCAGCTATCTACTTTATTGCACAGTGAGCCCATTTAATTTAGCAGGGACTTCAGCAGGGCTTGTTTTAGAAATGTATTAAAGATTATAAAGTGTCACCTCACTAAATAGCATCTGGGATGCTACTTAGCTTAGTCTGAGATGTTCCTTACTCCTTTAGTTTTTTTCTGTGACTTTGCGGCAAAGCGTTGCTTTGCATACATATCTTTTTTTCCCCAAAAAAGTTTTTTACGTATGTTTCAAACCTGATCTCTTGATGTCATTCTTTGGGTATGGGAAGTAAAAACACTGTTAAAGGCTGTGCTAGTCTGTTCTCATGGAGTGACCACGTAGGGACCTCTGGATCAGTACATTTAGTTTTCTGACCTGCTCTGTTGGGTGCTGGTGACAGACAGTGACATCTTGCTCAGCACAAGAGCTTCTAACACATGGGTGCTTAAGGTCATCATGACTTTTAAAAGTTACTGGGCTTTTCTTACACCTATAATGAGAATTACTGAGTAATTTATAATCCTCTATAGACAATAGTTTCTCCCCTTTCCTTTCCTCCCCTTTCCTTTCCTCCCCATCAATTGATACTGGAATAAAGCATTATTCTGGTAAGATCAGATGTAGCTCACAGGTTAGGGCATTACCTGGGGAATCTTGAGCCCTGAGTAGTAGTATTTCCCTGTGCTACCAGCCTTTTTGTGGCCTTGGGGACATCTGTGTCCCAGTTTCCCCACCTGTATAATGGAACTAGTAGTACTTACTTAATTTATGTAAAGGCACCTTACAAAATGTTACTAATTATGTGGAAGTTCATATGTTCCTTTTAATACACTAGTTCTATATTTCCAGTTCTCTGAAGTTCCGTTTCTGTGCTCATCCTAATGCAAGAATAAATTATTTGTGAAATGCAATTTGGACTTGTGCAATACAAATTTCAGTGTCATGCTATCTATCTCAAAGCCTGTATGCTTAGAGAAAGGCTTTTCTACATACTCCTAAAACATCCAGCATAGATAAGAGCCTTTTGGGGCTGGGTTAGCTATGAACATACTTGTAAGTGATGATGTATCCACCCTGATAGTAAGCAAAGGCACAAAGCATTAATGACTCAGCCAAGGGCAAGCAGCAGGTAGGGAGAGAGGCATGCAAGAAAGGCCAGAGCTGTGCCCTGACTGCTGGTTAGCAAACACACAGCCTGGGGGCTGTTGTGCCCGAACACTGAGCCAAGTGTGAGTGCTGCTGGTGACCAACTGGCAAGCAGATTCCCTTATGGTTAGCACTGTAAGGCAAGGCCAGAACTGAAGGAACAAATCCCACAGTGTTAATCTGGGATAGTAATGTGGATGGAAGCTAATAGTGTTAACTAATAATACAGGATGGGATTAATAGAGATGGCTGTTGTGCATTGAAAATACTTTTTCTACTGGGCTTGCAGAGGAAGATGTTCCTTTAAAGCCATATTTACATGTATCTCTTACCTCTCCAAAAGCAGCTGCTTTTATTATATTTTACAACATGCTTTTTTTTTTTTTTTTTTAAAAAAAAAAAAAGACAGAAATTTACTTCCTTTGCCCAGGAAATGCAGATTCCTTTTGAACCCACCATCGCATGATAATACTGATTTGCATGGAGTGTTAGAAGGAATAAGCACCAAAGCTGCTTGATGTTGAGAATGGCACTGCTGATGTGGGAAGGAGGGAAGTTGAAGGCTTAAGGACAGTTCAAGGCATTTGCATTAACAAGCACTAGTGGTTTTGGATTTGGTAATCCCCCAAAATGCATTTCACACTAGCATCTCTGATGAGTGCAGGGGGATGAAGTAATACTTCTAGAGGTTTTTGTTGCATACAATTTGAAGAAATTCTGTAGGAGAGGTGGGGGATGAGCAGGGAAATTGGATGTGAAGGAGCTCAAGTAGCACTTAAATCATGAGAGTCCAGGCAGTCAGGAGCGAGCTGTACCAGGTAGCAATATGTGGTCTCTAAAAGCAGTATTCACTTAAGCACTGGAAGGACTGGCAGCACGGCCACACGGTGGGTCTGCTGCTGCTTGTAGGACACACATCCAGAGGCTTTTTACATTGCATATGCAGTGTGGAAAGCTTTGCAACACCATTATCACAGAGAGTATGGGGCAGGCTGTGGTCTGGCTTTCACGTCTCTTGTCACAGAGCTCATTGCTGTTAAAATGTCACACAGAGCAAGGTGCTTGTCCCCTGCCAGCCTGGGTTTCTTGCTTTTATCAGATCAGGGTGGGACTGCTGCACAGTGTTAACCCTTGTGCAACTGATGGTTGATGCAAAGCTGCAAAATTGTTTTGCTCCTTGTACAAGCATAAAGCCCTTGGAACAACAAACGTTTGCAGCAGGTGCAGAGCTCTAGTTTTCCTCCCATTTTACCCACTGCAGGCCCAGCACGGATGCTTGCAGGGCAACAGGAGGATGCTAAGAGCCTGCTTGGGATTTTTCCTTTTGCAAGGTCAGGAGAGACCTGCCCACTGGCCTTGTGTTGGGCTGCGCGTGCTCCCGTGCCAGTGTGGTGCTGAGGGTCTCAGAGGGCAGGGCATAATGCTTCCTGACTTCTAGTATCAGCAGCTCTGTCAGTCCTGGTTGGTTTCCCTGGTTACTCCTTGCAACCCTTCACTGGTGTGTGCTTAGCCAGTGTGCACATGCAAGCACAAGCTTGCTCCATGTGTGCACACAGATGTGGAGCAGCCTCAGTGAGGCAGTCGTCAGGTCTGCCTCCTCCCCATACACACTTCTTTCCATAAACCCTCCAGTATCAGGCACCAGCAGCCTGTTTCAGCAAAACTCCAGTGAAACACCAACCGTAGCCTCTGAAGTTTGACAGATAATTTTATGTAGTTCTTCCTTTTTAATTACTGCAGAGGGAATGTCTGCTTTGCTTTGCTGGGAGTGGCTACATACAACCTGAACTAAAATCAGAGGGCAGTAAATGCTCTGGAAAATGGGAAAAATGCTGACTTTGGGAGACTCGGCTGGCCTCCTGTTCCACTCGTGGCAAAAATCCCCACACTAAGTGTGGGAGGCCCTCACGCTGGGGGAAGATGTTATTGCATGATTACATGAGATTTGTGTGGCTTTGTAGCAAAAGTGTGATGGGTGG